CTTCGTATAATACTGGATCTTTCTCTGTATCAGGAATTTCAGCAGAAATGAGTTCATCAATTTGATCTGGTGCAACAACCATCCACCATGCAAAGAAGAATGTGTACGTGCGACAAACAGCACCACATATACCTTGCTTCGCTCAAGATAAAGTCCATCAAACATCGTAACTGTTGTTTAAAAAGTCGTGCTGTGACATCGTGACGATCGCTTGCTGATTGACCGCGATCCATAATTCCGCACGTATGTCATCGCATCCTGTGAGTGCTTCTTGCCTTGCCTTGCCTTGGGCTGCCATACGTTAATGGCAAAAATAACACCGACCGATATTACGGCAACCTCTTCGTGGCTTCATAAGTTTTTACAGAATAATTTTCAAAATTTTTTCTTTTGAATAGCCGGAATAAAAAATCAAGCTACCGAAAGTGAACAATTCAAATAATTTACAAATCAAAATATTGAAATTTTATTTCCAAACCTTCCCCGATCCACAGAGGACAACCTCTGAAAATTTCATCAAAATTGGTGCAGCCGTTTTTTTAGCGTTACTAACCAACAAACATTCATTTGTATGGGAAAAAGAAAACGGCTGTTTTTAGGGGTTTTCCGGCAATTATTCGAAATTTTCTTGCCGCAAAAACCATCCTTGAACCTCAACGAATATTAAGAAAAAGAACCAACCAAATTGGTGAAGGCGTTGTTGAGTTATGCGCTTACCAACACATTTTGCGCTTCATTTTTATATATATAAGATGAAAGTGCGTTAATCTGGTGACGCGCAGTGTAATTGGTCAGTAGCATCTGCCAAAAGATATTTAATGTTTACAATCCAATCAAATAAAAAAGTAGAAAAAAACATTTCATAAACAAGTATTTATTAATGAAATGAAATTTTTTTGCAAATCGCCAATCCTTATATCTTTATATACTTCAGATAATATCTCAATTAGTTATTATGATTTTTTAGTATAAAATATAGTATGTATGGTAGTTTGTTCGTTTCTTCATCTCAATATTTCTTAATATATTTTAATCATATTCATTCACATAACATACAATATTCTTAATAATATAAAATATATATATTTATGTACAAAGGTATATATATTTATACTTAATTTTAGTCTTTGATTTGAAGTGAAAATCAATAAAAACGAAAATATTATAGTGTTTTAAGTTTTAATAGAAAATTTGGAACTTATAACCAATAGACGCACTAAATATATACTTTTTTTTAACTACTGATTATATTATACCTATGTATTTTACACAATTAAGTTCGCTAACTACTTCATTGAATTGTTAAAATATACGTTTAACACAATACAATTTCGAATATAAATTTTCAAAAATAATATTGAACAGTAGTAGTAGTAGTATTTATGATTATTATATTTTTGACATAATGACATTTTTCGCACTTTCTTTGAAATCATTTGCTTATAACCAAAATTTCAATCAGAATAGCTACATATATTGATTTATAATAATATATAACAGTGTTAAATAGGTATATTATTTAATGCTCTTTAAATATTAGAGATGTTGTCAAAGTTAAATATATATAATTATTTTTAATCATATTGCATAATTGTACGTGAAATAAAGCATGCTTTTCACTATTTTTATATATGCTAATTAACAAGACTTTTTTGGCTGTGTAGATGAAAATATAGCAAAATTACATTTTCGAAACTTCGCAAATAGCATTCTKACATATTATGCTTCTTTAAAGTACTTATTTCAAATAATTATTATGTTAGCGAAACTAGCTCAGCAAGTCGAAGCTGATTGTAATAATTACACAGGTCTTCAAAAAAATTTTGTTGCACTGGATTTCTTTGCAAATTTTGAGACTTTCAAGTGCCCGGATTATGACCTCATTCATGAAAATATTCAATGTGCTCTTGTTTTTAAGATAATAGCATATGTAATGTTTTGATAAACACCGGCTTGTTAGAAGATATTGAAGCTAGCTTGATAGGTTATCTCCGTAATAATTTTGATAAATTTTAAAATATTTTTCGAAACTATAATGAGGAGCAGGGGAGCTATTCAAATTGAATCTAAAAGTAATGGAGAAAAGATATCGCATCGTCAGATGATGGCTCATTACTACTAATTCAAAAAAAAAAAAACAGATTGTCAACTGGAAAGTTATAAAATAAAATCTCATTAAAGGAGCTTTATTAAAATATAACAAATGTTTTCGAGATTTGTCTCTTTGTTTACTTGGATGCCTCCTTATTTTTCAAAACAAAACTGAAATTACAAAGATTTCATTACTTTGTTTAATATTTTTTGATTTTTGTCAAGTGAAATGAAAACAAACATTTAAAAATAAATGAGAGCAAATCTTAAAAAAAAAAACAATTGAGTTTCATGAACTGTAGGCACAAATACATTTAAAATCGATCAATTGCATCTAAGGCAACAAAACCAATGTAGACCAGTGTTATCAACAAACATTCATTATATCATTTACCATTTAAAAAGAGTACACATATTACAGGGGTATTAAAAGCGAAGCTCGCTCGAACTAAACCGAATAGAAATGCGAATTGAATTTCGTTTGCCATGATGGCTTCGTAAACGGTGAGAACCAGGCCAGAGAAAAACGTCCAAATACTGAGTGTATGCTCTTAAGGCGAGATTTTTTTGCCCAACGTGCTTCTTCTTTTTTTAATTGTTCTATACCCTGTAAGTAAA